CCCGCCCAACGCCGCCCCGCTGAGGCGAAGGGGTGGGCGCGTCTCTCGGGTCTCTCCGCAGGTTTGTGGTTTGTTGGGGTTTTTTTCTGTGTGTGTTTTTGTTTGTTTGGGGTTTTTTTGAAAACTTTGTGCTTTCTTGCAAATCACAATCGTTGTGTGAAGCTTTCTCACCCGGGACGACGATGAGCTGAAGGAAATCTCTGAGGTTCAGCTGCTAACTTTGGATCCATGTGCTTGATTTACTTAATTTCTCCTCCGAAGGAAGGCTTGCAAAACCTCCTCACGGGTTTTCACTGCGGGTTTTAAAATGGTGTGGGTGTTGGGTTCTTGGTGTTTTGGTCTTTTTTTTTTTTTTTTTTCAACGCTTGAAAAATACTCACCTGTAGACCACTTCTAAAGTAAATGCTAATGTGTTCGTATCTCTTCGGTTATAGTGTGAAGGAAGATATTTATGGTGCTTGCTCATCCACCCTATGAACAAACAGGTTAGTATCTAAAGTAAGTGGGTTTGATGTTTCAAGTAACACGGGAAATGGAATTTCAACATCTAATATGCACTGTCATTCACACAGATCTGTATTTAACCTAGTTAAAATGGTGGTGGTATGAAAAAGTTTAGTCAATTTTTCTTTGCAGGCAGGTATTCTTTTTGCTTGAAGTAAGGTGTAGAAAATGATCCTTCCAATATATTTCCGTGTGACCCAGTGTACTTAATTGGACGTGGAAAATACGTATTTATGCTGTTTCTTGCTTCAGGTTGATGTTGCTTTAATAATGGAATGCAACTGCTTTTAGATACTTCATTATATCTTAATTTATTTGGCTTTTTGCTAACAACTGCGCAATGTTAGCTATCGTTACTTATGTCACAACTCTCTGATTAAACTGTGGAGTGAATGAACTCCTCTCTGGTATCTCTGCAGATTGCAGTGAATGGGTAAGCATGACCGTATTGCCCAGTATGTGTGTGAGAGTTAGGTGAGCATAGCTAAAAGTAAATACAGCCCTGCGCTTCTGATCCAGTTACGTGAAATCTTGCAGCGCCTTGCACAATTCAGATAGCAAAGATGTCAACTTTGGGATGACTTGAAGCAGGCATGGAATGTAAGGTGTCCTTGTGATACAGATGCTGTTGCTTAAATCAGGATTTACAGATTATTCTCTGATGAAATTGTCCTGATTGCCAATGGGACAAGGTTGTATGAGGAATGTCTTAAGAGATGCTCCCTTACCTAATATGCTCCCTACCAAAAAAGATTGTGAAAAGAGAAATCATCTCTGATGAAGACAAATCCCAGTAGCAGGGAAGCATGTGAGAAGTTCAACAAACCAAGATTTCAATTTCCCCTTTACAAACAGATGCAGCATAAAATATTTCAGCAGTCATCATGGGTGTTCTTACGTGGTTATAGTATAACAGTGGTTATTGCTTTGCTCTTTAGTAATACTTTAGTTTTTCAAAGAGTCATTTGCCCTGAGTGTTTCTTTGATAATGACTTATTTTTTCCAGCACTGAACATTAGTGCTTTGATCCAGGAATGAGTGGTATATATTAGGTTGCAAGCAGATAGTTCTCTTTCAGTCACTTTACAATTATAGATAACTCTGTGTACAGTTGACAGCTAAAGAAAAAAGAGTTTTTCTCCCCCTAAAGACAAGTATTTTGTCCAGATGGTTATTCATAAATGTATAGTTAAAATCTGCTGTCTCTTTTCAAAAATGAATTGATCTGTATAAACGCTTCCAATTAGAATGACCTGAAATCATCCTCAGGTTGCAGTGAGAATTCATCTTGGGTGTTAACATATTTTCTAATAGTACAAATAAGATTTAATTCTGTCATTTATGCATTGTGTACATGATGTTTGAATGCCTCAGGATAGTAAAGCAATGGACAGCAGTAAATAAATCATCAATGTGGCTGGTAATTTTCTCTTAAAACTGGCTGACGATTAAGATAATAAAGCTACTACCAAGCCAAGAAAAGAAAATATTGGAAGAGTAAATTGGCAGTAAACAAGGAGCCCATATGGATTTAGAAAAGGGGGTTAATGAGTGTAAAAAATGACATTCTGGAAGTGAGATGTGTCAGGCTGAAATGAAGAGTTTCCAAAAGCCAGTCTGAGTTAGATTTCACAGCAGAAATCAGAAGACAAAGAAGGAAAGCAACAGCAGTGGGCAAAGCTCAGAGTGAAGCTAGTCCCAGAACAAAACAAATAACTTGCTTCTCTTTTGAATGTGAACATAGATGTTGGACCACGGGTACACAGGCTGAAGAACCCATGGAGTTTAGAATATGGAAACTGTGTGAAGAACATTTGTTCTGCCTTCTCCCTCAGCCCTCTGGCTCTGGTTGGAGCTAAGGAGAAGACCATGTGTTGCAGGTACAACAGGGCTGAGCCAGTGTGCTGTGGGCATGGACTTGGCACAGATTGGCATCGGCAATTGCTGAAACAGCAGGTCAGCCCTGAACAGCCACTGGTATACTCCACTGTCAGTATGGAAGAATTAGGAGATGGGAGTCAGGATAAATCACACCAGGCCAACTTGATATTTCTATGCCAAAATAACCAGTTCCTGAAAATGAGAAAGGCAGGGAAGTTCTCCTCTTTGTGTTCCTCTGAAACTTCTAAGCTTGCCATCTCCTACCAGCCACTTCTTTCCTTCTCAACCCCTGTGGAGCATAAGAATTTTCGATACAGAGATTGTCAGTGCTCAGAGGTACTGAAGGGCCTTTTGGGGTAAAGAGCTGTCTGGACAGGGAGATGCAAAAATAAAGGATGAACAGAAATTACAGGAAACCTAAACCACATTTGAATTCTAGAAAACCTTTCTAGAGGATATGAACATATAAACAGCTTTATCTTCAGTATGCACATTTCATGTCGCCTTTGGATTTGTCTAAAACAACTACACTTCAGATTTACTTAGATTTAGTAACTTTGCAAGATCTGTGAGTTAAACTGTATATTTTATCTTTAGAGCAGGGTGATAATAAGAGGCTCCGCATTAATATGCACACACACAAGCATACTTCATGAACACATCAGCAGTTAGAAAAAAAGATGCCTGTGTTCGTGTTCTTAAAACATGCTTTGTTTCTTGCTGAAGCAGCCTGTATCTATTGTAGACACGGACTTTGCATCTTTTGCAGAAACACCTGACTGTACTCAGCAGCCTCCAGCATTGTGCCTACATGGCTGCGGTTGTGTCCATGTTCTAGGCGTACATGAGATCATTGAGTGTGCACTAGCCTCAGCCTGCCCATTGCTCTCATTTCCTGAGGCAATGGGAGATGGTGAGCATGCATCTACGTGTACACACTGTGGGAAATGAGCAGACTCATTTCAACTGAGGGTGAAATCTGGCATTCATTAGCATGACAATATACACAAACCTCTTCTAGACAATAAAAAGTTAGTGGTAGCAAAACACTAGGTAGTTCTTGAGGACAACACAGAATTTTCATGTAGCGTAATCTAGTTGATGAAATGAGATTTTATAAGGAGTCTCAACTGATTCAGGGCTTCAGGCCTTAAAACAGAATCACTGAATCCTTTCACATTCCTTAAGTTTTTCCCTATTTGTTGTTTCAGGATGCTCACCAGAACCCCAAGTGTCGTTGCCCAAGTGTTCCTTCTTCTAAGCATAGTTCTTGTCATTGCTATCGCAGTGATTCAGATAAATCAGCAACAGATCCTCTCCCCAGGGCTTAAGGTAAGTCTTTAGAATATGTAAGGAAGGAGAACTATGCTTTACATTTATATTTAATAAGGTTCCTAAACTAATTTTTATGGGGTAATTCAAATGAGCTTACAGCCATAAATTAATGTTTAATCACATCTTTGTCATGGGAAAACTGAAGCTGAGAGAAAAAGAGAATTGGTCAAGATCACATAGTTGATGGCAAAGCAGGAAAAGCATTCTTTGATTCCCTGTCTGTGATGTCTATCACACAATTTCTTCTCCAAGACTGAAAGGCCAAACGAGGAGAAAATGCCACTGCTTTTTTTTGGCAGAGATTGGAAGGAATTTTTAAATACTTTTGAAGTGGGAAATACCTGGAATTTAAATTCTGCCCCCAAGCACAGCTAGGAAGTTTATGCTGAAATCTTTGCAAAGTGCTCCTGTGTATCAGAAGCATTTGAGCTGTAAGTGTGCACTTCATGATTTACCACATGTCGGGACTTGCTGGATATTAACAGAAGCAAAGTAGCTTCATGAGGAGGGGCAGAGCAAACTGGAAAAAAACTGAAATACTCTGGAATTCAAGCTTTGCCTTGTGCTGCTGGAGTATGTGTGCAGTTCCTTTTATGAGAGATGCACTCAACTGAGGACAAAGCTGTAGAAATTAGCCTTCTAGAGAAGCTATGCAGTCTGGCATTTGGAGTTCTCTGTTTTTTCCCACGATAGCTACAACCATATAAACCTTGTCAGCTCCTTCTTTGAAGTCCTTTCTGCCTTTACCTCTGCATATGTATTTAACTGGATAGTTCACATACTGATAGTGATAGGCTAATGTCTCATTACACTTCATGGGATTATGAACACCTTTGGCTTTGTCTGAATCATTTGTTGGTGTATGAGTCAGACAATGGGATAACACTGTATTCTGATACCAGTTTTATGTGTTTGTGTGGTGTGGCAGGGTGTGTGTGCTGGGATCTTGCAGGGGAACACATGAAGTTTACTCTCTTGTCCCCCAAATCTCTGCTTGCAGCAGCCTTACATCCTGCCAATTTTCATGCAAGGCAAGACTGGACTGACATGTTGGCTGAAGCCACTATCTAAAAGATGGCCTACGCATCATTTGTGTTTGTCATTAATTCAGTTTCACATTCAGAATGATAAAATTGTCTGCCTTACTCTTTAAGCAAACATTGGACCCACCTTGACCATCTGGAACTGGTTTAGGTGGGCAGGTCTGCTTCCTGAATCACAATGGCTTCATGGCTGGTTCTGGAGGGAAGACTAGTGGTTCCTGTGCTGGATGCCTTTGTTTGGGATTTCTTTTTGGGCCGTAAGCCTGCCAATGCAGAAAATCCCAGCTGATATGGAAGATCCTATGTTTGATTCTTGAGATGCTGACTAGTCCTCAGTGAATGATTAACACTTGCAAGAAGTAATTCTTCAGGAACAGAGGGAGGACCTTGGTATGCCAGTGTGAAACCCTCCAGTACTTACTTGATATGATGGAGCCTGGACATGGCAGTGTCCTGAAGTTAGTGGTTATTAAAATTAAATATGGCAATAACATGATGAAAACAGACTTACTCTTTGTAAATGGCCGCCTTCTGGCTCTTCTACATGAAACCAAACCAGCTACTGAACGATAACTACAGTTCGTGTTATCTGTGGCATAATAGCTCTTTCCCAGGCTGCACGTTGAGAGCATCCAGGCTCATTTCTTTGTGGCACAAAAGATAAATTATCTGCTATGCCATTGAAGTTTTCAAGTGTTGTTGCAAAATTTAACATTTTGGTTCCTTGGTGGTAAGTTATCTGAAGATTGAGCCAGTGATTTGTGAAGTAAGGACCTGCCCGTGTGCATGAGGCCGAGGCACTGAAACTTATGACTCATTAGCACACACTGAAGTCAGAAGAGTGATGAAGAGAGCACAAACATCTTTAAGCTGTCACTGTTTGTTTCTTGATCTAATATATTATTTTTTAATCCCCAGTATGGGATAGTCCTAGATGCTGGATCCTCTCGGACTACAGTCTACGTCTATGAATGGCCAGCAGAAAAAGAAAATGACACGGGTGTAGTAAGCCAAACCTTCAAGTGCAATGTGAAAGGTGAACTCAAATGGAAGTTCCTTGTTTCTTTCTAGCTTCCAAGAAGAGTTTATCTGGAAGCTTATACTGTTTTTTTTCCCGCTGTGTTCCCTTTTCAGTGCTGGGGAGCAAGAACTGTTAAGACTATGTCTGTATTTGTCAGCATCAGTCCTTCTCCAGCTGATACAGCAGGGTGCTCTAATGTGCACCGGAGAGAGCAAATTGTAGCTAAACTTTATATACTCCATTGCGGTGCATGATTGGTGCAGACAGAGTTCGATCTACAGAGAATCATGTCCTGTAAATGTTTAGTCCTTGTGCCCTGAAATAATTTATTTTAAAATGGAAGTATAAAATTTATTTAAAAATAGCTTGGAATAAAAAGTCTTTGAGAAGAATGGGGATCTAGCCCTTGTTAGATATTAGCCATTAATTTTGATGGAGGCAAAAATGGGTGTCAGGTATGCTATAGGGGTTTGACAAATTAGTTATTATTTTCCAGAAATCTTAGTGATGTTAAAAGAAAAAAATCTCTGCTGTTTGAGTCAGGTTTCCTAGAGAAACGAGGCTTATGTAGTTCATCTGGAATTGTTCTGTAATTACTTGGAAAGAAGCAACCAAGGGGAAATTATGAAAGGTGTGCAGAAGGTGAACAGGAAGAGCTTCTCCATACTACAGAACTAGGAAGCATCTAATAAAATTATCAAGTAAAATAGCTAAATTGCAGAACTGTTTCTGACAGGATGTCATAGTTGTATCAGATATGCAGGTCTGGCCTTTGGCACAGGAAGACTTGTAGTTGCGCACTGCTAGAACGTGTCCCATGACAAGTACCACTGCCTACCTGCCCTGTCTTTTGTCTGAGGTTTTGCATTGATTCCTCTCGGAGAATGCTAGATGCTAGACTAGACTGACTTTTGCTCATGCTCCAGTATGGTTAAGTATATATTCTAATAGCTTGTTGTGAATTCCTTCCTAACAGCTTTTGAATCTCTTAGTCAACTTCAGTGACATTTGACTAAGCTTTCAAAGATAGCAAAATTCCACATATTTTATGGAGACAGATGGCCAGGCAGGGGAGAGAAATCCACATTATTAAACAGTAGCTACTCCATAAGGGATTTCTGCAGGAAGCCAAACTTCATAAATTCTGCTACTCTGAGTTAAATGAGCTTTAGATTATCCTTTAAGACACTGACTTCAGCAGTACTGCTTTGTTTAGGGTACTGGTTTGGATTTGCAAGTAGGTAAGAGTTGAAGGTGGGGCAACTCAGGAAGTCTCAGTGCAGATGTTGGTGATCTCTGATAACAACTGTGGCGTTCAAGGAGAATTTTTCCCTTTCCTTCTCTCTCAGTCATGATGATGCAAAATCCTGCATCCCTCTTTGTGTCTGGAAATAGATGCTGGAGATGTAGCCACAGAGGTCCATAAGTAACTAGGAGATGAGTAAAAGGCAATGGTTTCTTAACAGCACCAACATTTCTGTCTTCAGCATTAAATATACGTGTGAACATTCTCAGCAATTTTAGAACAAGGAAAGGAAAGCAAGTGTAACATGCATGCACACAAGTCATGTGCCTGGTGGTGTGTCCTTACATACTGCAGGAAAGGTGGCCATCCTGCTGAGGTGGGGGTACACTCTGCTAGCTTATGTCTTGACTCATTAGGAATGTTGCCTTTAGGAATTCTGGTGTGAGGAAAATGCACAGAGAAACTGTGTTACTCTCAAAAAATGACAGAGGAGTACTTCGTGAATTTGTGTTAACTGGTTTAGATTTTGGTTTATCTCCAGGGAATACAACAAACTGCAAAATGGAGGAGTCCAAATTGCTGTGAACTGTTCAAGTCCAGAGGGGCCTTAACCATGGTCAACCAAAGTACTCATCCTCCAGTGTACAAAATCACCAGGCTTCACTCCTCTAGTCTTGGGTGGCTCTGCACTGGAGGACACAGAGGGCTCGTGGGAGAGGTCCCTAATGAAGCCGTGGGAGGCAGCAGTGAACACATCTGTCAGTGTTTCTTTAGTGACCCTCTAACCATAGCCTTAAGCACTTAAATTGGTGGGTGGTTCTGGGCATACTGAGAAGCAGACTTTCACATACCTACTGAACTTGAAAGTCAAATGAGCAACTACTCTATAAGTTCCATGGTGGTTTTATGATTTAATTTCTGCCTTTATTAGGTACCTCTGCCCCTATGTGTAGGAACCAGGCCCAAATCAAAACTCTTTCTATATAGTGCAATTAATCTGTCCCGGTCAGGCTTTAAGCATTGACAAAGAAGGTGGTTGTCCAGAACAAAATGGTCACTGCCTTGTGACCTGCTCTGTCTGAGCACTGCGAGATGGAGGTTGCTGCCACCAAGGGAATGTGAAGCAACAGCAGCAGCTGAGAATGTAAAACAGTAGTTGCTGCTCTGTTTTCCTCTGGTAACAGCTTTCCTTCCAGCTTCAGGCCTGCTTGTGCTAGACTTATTCCAAACCAGGGCTGTCAACATCTAATGACGACATGGTAGTGTTTATGTTTAAGTTCATACTGTGGAAAAGGGAGTGGTGGAGTGTGGACTCTGTAAAGTCTTAAATATTTTTTCTTCTGTTTTTATCAATGCAATGTGGCTGAACATACATGTTTTCTCATTTTAACTCTGTAAGAGCCACCTTTTGCTTAGCTCGGGATCAGGTTCGGAGAGAGATGGCCATTACAGGAGAACTATATGGAGTTCTGGCAGAGTTGTTCTCTGTGGAACAATGGCTTCATGGAAATGCCTGAATTTCTCCCTGTGCAACTTCCTCAGCTAAGGAATTTTAGTAAGGAATGTTTTTATTCACACCCAAGTTGAGCCTGAACAAGGTGAGGCCCTGCTGGTCCTTGGAGTGTTGAGCAAGGGAGGAAAGACTTCGATGTTAATTGTTCAAACAGTTATGTCTTACGCAGCATGGTGTAACTCCCAATCCTCTTATTTGAAGGCTTTGGAAATTTGTGAAATACTTAGTAGTTCATGCACCAGCCTAGACCTGAACCTCTGTGACTTCAGGAGCCATTTGTGTGCATCTTGAAATTTCACCAGCAATTCTTTGCAGAAGCTTCTTTATTTTATTTGCAGTTGTGAGCAATGAGCTGTAGAGGTGCCATGGTGTCCACAACGATTCTGGCAAACCACATTAGGAAATCTTTGTCTTAGGTTGCAGAGGGAGGGTTTTTCAATACTTTAGCAGATCAGAGAAGTTTTACATCCATTAGACATGCAATTTTCTACAGCATCTGCCATGAGTAAACCTATTTTCCTTATGAATATAGCACTGCTGTCATTGTGGTATATGGTTATATTGTGTATCTTACTCTAGGCATGGTACTATAGGTGTATATGTATATACACAGAAATACAGGCGAGCAGTTTTCAAGTATCTTCTCTGTCTCACACATCTGAGACGCTCACTACATTGTTTATTCTTTAAGCACTTGTAGTTTTCAACCATCCTATCCTTGCTTGCAATTACAGGAGGGAAGGGGGAAATCTCTTTCTCTTAACACCTGTTTGCTAATTGCGCTAATTTGTAGTTGGCAAAGCAGAATGAAATCAATCTACTTGTTGTCTTTTAGGCCCTGGTATATCCAGCTATGAAAGTAACCCTGGAGCTCTTGCCAAACCCTTTGATGACTGTCTGAATAAAGTCAAGGAGAGAATACCAGTTAATCTGCATAAAAACACTTCTGTTTATCTGGGGGCTACAGCTGGCATGAGACTACTGAGGTATGGCAGAAACTTGAACTGCTCTGTACGTATACTGGCATAGCAGTCTGTGAAAACAGAACGTGAAAAATGTACTGGACACATTTTTATCTGTTGGAAATTGGCCATCTCAAAAGGAAATGGAGCCCAGCCAATTTAGTGTAA